AGAGAGCACTTCAAAGCGTCAACCAAAGGCATGCGTCCCTGCCACTCCATTCTGGAAAATATCTTCAAAAACCTCCCTGTTCCCAAAACTAAGCTTTTCCATGGGGATTTTAGCTCTTTCCTATGTTACCGTGCGTACTTGTTACCCATGGGTGTGCTGTTGCATCTCAGATCTTGTTGTTCTTTCTTAATTAAAACAATTTCTGTATGTGTGCTTCAGCTTTGCCGGAGAAAACCAATGTTGGAAATCTTGGGGATATTTCTGGGCACAAAAAAAGATGACGTGAGGGCGCCTGGGTGGCTCAGTTGGTTAAGCGACTGCCTTCGGCTCAGGTCATGATCCTGGAGTCCCGGGATCGAGTCCCGCATTGGGCTCCCTGCTCAGCGGGGAGTCTGCTTCTCCCTCTGACCCTCTTCCCTCTCGTGTTCTCTATCTCTCATTCTCTCTCTCTTAAATAAAATCTTTAAAAAAAAAAGATGACTTGAGCTAGGAGATAATGTTGGATTTTGATTGAGTTGGAAAAGAATGCATTGTCCTTATTACATTTACTTGTTCTGATTGTCTTATGGAAAAACAAGAACAGACTAGATTAGTTCTGGTCTGCCCCCGGATAGTACCTAGCAGTAGGTACTCATAAATATAACACTAGTAGGTCCAGCACCATTCTTGTTTGCAATCGAGGATAGAAAAGCATATCTAAACAGAGAAGCATATTTTGAACATACAGCATTCTTTTATACATATAGTATACTTTAAAAGAGATTATGACAATTATGTTAAAAATAGGATTGTATAAATTGTCTTTTCTCCTATATGCACTTTCTAGGGCTCTGCATACCATATAGGGACAAAATGTGTGTCCTCTGTATGCTTTATAACTATACTTTCACGGAAAAACTAGGACTTTCAATTCTAATCAGTTTTAAAATATTCTTTTTTTAATTAGAGTATAGTTTACAATGTTGCATTAGTCTCATGGGTACAACAGAGTGATTCCACAAGTCCGTATGTTATGCCATGCTCAGCACAAGTGTGGCAACCGTCTGTCACCTGCAGTCCTAAAGTAGTTTTACTAAAAAACAAACAGAAGCATGCAAATGCAGAAAAATTGTGTAAGTTTTCAGTATATCTATGGAAATCTACTCAAATACTCTATTTGTCCCCAGGTTTTAGCACGTTCCGGGGTCATCGTGGGTACATATAAATGTTAGTGAATGGCATCTCCATAATTCACAGCATGGATGAAAGCTCTAGTATGTGGTGGTTTGGGGTTTTCTTTTTCTTTTTCTTTTTTTGCCTCGCTTTTCTTTAAGCATATACTGAACACTTAATAAACAGAATTAACCAATACATATGCATCACCTTCACGCCAAATCATTTCACAAACAACACGTGCAATCAGGCAGCATGGAAGTTTTCTCTATCATGTCCCTGATCTTCAAGTCAGAGTCTAGGTAGACCAGTAGTCAGTTTTCCCTCTGGACCCATTCCATTTACCGAAAGGGAATCTCTTCGTACTTGGTGTGCATCGGTGCAACAAGTAAGTAGCAATGTGTCTGCAATCAAGGGAGTTAGTGGAGTTGCTGACCATTCGTGAGCACACACAGTATACAGCGGGCTTGTTGGTTCAGCCAACAGAATTCATGCAACGTAACTTTTATTCATGAACACTGACATTGCTCTCATCCCTTATTTTCAAAATTACCATCAATAGGAATTGATCCTTGGGTGGCTGGCTACCTCTTGGCATTCAAATAAAGTTGTTGTTTTGTTTTGTTTTGTTTTTTTAATAGAAATAGATCTTCAGGATCTAAGGGTTTTAGGGTTATCTTCACGGTATGGAAATGGGCAGCCAGGTTGGAGGACTCAACTGGATGTCTTGTCTCAGGCACTGGGGTGCAGACCCAGCCCAGGAACAAGGTGTATGAGCTGTTTCAGAAATAAAAGCAAAAAGATTTGACGGCCAATTGAAAGCAAGTCCCACAAATCTAGAGCAATGTTTTAGTATGGGGTTTCGAATGGAAACGCATCTATAGTTGACTCACAGGGGATTTGGTTCCAGACCGGCCACTGACAAAATTTCATCTCTGTGAAGCTTATTAACCAATGACCTTCACGTTTTGATCTCTATTGTGTAATAAACAAAACTGTGTTTATTATTTTGTATTTTGTTTCCAGAATATAACTTTGGTTTTAGTGTGTGAGTTAGTATAATTTCAGCTGAAGTACTTTAAAAACACCTGTGCAGCCTCGTTCTCAAATACTGTGGGGGGATGTAATATGCTTTATGGAACTAATGTAAGGAATCCCATTAACAACTTAACAGGCCCTGTGTTTGGAAACGTGTGCATAGAAATCATCTGTCCTCATAACTGTCTTAGATTTATTCTACTGACATTGGAAATAGATTTTGACCCTGTACGACATTGATGTGATAATTAAATACGGTAGGTTATGACTCATGTCATTTGTAAGTAAACTAAAAACTACAAATAGAGACACTAAATTTCAAGAGCTTTCCCCCATCAGGCTCAGAGAATTGGAGTTTATATATCTTTCCTTCCCTTCCACCCACAGGTGTACACCCTTTCGTCAAGTCATACACAATCGATTCCACTAAGAAAACTTAACTTTCACGTTGTAATAAATGCACCCAGTGAGGGATTTCCTATAAACATCAGAGAAGATAGATTTGCATGTCTTTGGCTGATTTTCATCTTTATACCTCTGCTCTAATTCTTATTACACATTTTTTCTGGGCTCATCTGTGTGATCTAAAATGAATTCTGTCTCTTCTCACCGGAGAATTTTTACGCAAACATTCCTTTTTGCTTTTACGCCATTAAATTAAGTGCATGTGCACACACATATAGGAATGAGGTGTTATGATTTAATAAGGACTGGTGATTTGCTAATCCTCAGGCTGCTGTGTCTATGTATATGTATATATCACGTATTTACAAGGTCACAGAAGGACCTCTTTGTACGGATACATTCTACATATGTTACAGAAATATGTCTATATGTGTATGCACGTGTGTGTATATATGCAATTAATAAGAATTAATTTAGTCTCAACTGTATTTCAGAAATGCCTTTAGAAATAGTTGAGACTCGAATTCTAGCAATTACAGGTGAATGCACACCCTAAAAATATAAAATATATCATTCTTTATACATTTAGCACTTATCTTGTGGTTAATGGTCTCCCAAAAAAAGGTCTACTCTGCTTATGTAATGAATCATCTCCTAAAATAAAATGGGATTGTAGCTTTAAAGTCCTATTACAAATGAACAAAAGGGCAGCCCCATCTGACACATCGGGCTTCTAACCATTGACCTGCTGTGCACGGACAGCCATGTGACCTGGAATCATTCTCCTGACCCCTTTGGTGCAATTCACAAGAATGAGAAAACTTTAGATTGTGATAACCTATCATAAAAGCCTGAAACTTCCTATTCTAGCACCAGTGAGAAGACCAAATACAGTGCTTTGTTTTTATATGACGTTGAATTTCATTCAGCATGCAGGGGAGAAATGTGATTTCGGGTGTTCAGGCATTTCTCATGGATAAACCGGCTGTCTCTTGTGTGAATGTATATGTTTTTGTTCCTTCCAGTGCTTTGAATGAAACTTAGTATCAATGTAGTGACAGTATGTGTGAATTCCAGTGTCTGTTTTGTATCTCTCTCCCATTGTTCCATTGCTGGTGTGGGGTGGAGGGGCTGACTGATTTACAACCTTCATTACAGAGACCTTAAATCTCAAAAGCCAAATGTTTCATCAGCTGAAATGCTTGAAGGATCTGCAGCCAAGAGTGCTTATCAGTGAAAGAAGCCGTTTGTTTAAAATCTCTGGTTTTAGCCAGCCAGGGGGCCGCTTCTGTTAATTCATCGGCAGCAATATATGGGGAGTTAAGTCCTCTGCGGTGGGACAGACTTCTTAGGATGCTTCTACCAGCACTCAGCTTTGGTGACGTGCCTGGCTGTTTCCAAATTGATTATCTCGCTCCCACGTTCATAGAATTCCATGATAGTAAACGCAGATACATCTCATATCTGGATTATATCAAACACCGCATTTTCACGATCAGAATAGCAAAGGAATACACTCTTGCAGAGAAAATAAAATTGCTTGCATTCATTGTGTGCCTGCAATGGAAACCCTGCCTTGTGGATTGTTTAAATTACAAGGGGGGGGGGAAGCCCCTGGGTGTGGCAGTAAATGAAGATTTTGTGGCAGAAACTATGGAAACACCAACTTCAAAAAAAAAAAAAAAACCACGTTCATTTGCTGAACTTCAGAGATGCACGGAGGAGCTGTTTCCCTCAGGACTTTTGGAAGGAATTCAGAATCGCAAAGATCCAACCTTTCAATAGGAGGCTGTTAGGAAAGCTAAGATTTGCCAGGGTATAGAATATTAATTAGCCTGGCATTCGAAAGGTTACAAGAGACACGTTTTGCTCGGGAGGGGCTCCAGTTTAATAAAGGCTGGTGATTTACCGTATGTTGCAAATGCTCACGGTGCTCTGAGGAAACAAAATAAGCAAATAGGTCATTCTGGGAGAGTTGACAGAGGGGGTGGGGGGAGGGAGAGGCGGTGGAGGAAGGACGTGTTAAAGACAGAGCCGTTCTGCCGAAAAATTACTAGAGCCTTTAGGAATTAATCACCTCTTTCCTTAATGGGGAAAGAGCGGCTTGTCTTATGGTTATTATACGGCACCCAAACTGCCATTAGGAGCGGGTTTCATACATAAAGCTGCGTGAAAGGGGCTTTTCTCCCAAGCAGAGCGCAATGCATTTTATGAGAAACTGTGTAAAAGGTTGCATGATGAATGCCAGAGCCAGGGAACATTCGCTGGCATGAAACGCTAATTAGTAATTGCTAATTAAATGAGGGAGGGGTTGGTAACGTCTGAACATTCCCACTAATCACTGCTAATCTCAGCTCAATCCCTGTGAACGCCGGAGAAGCCTGGATCTGCGGGACATGCCCTAAATGCACAACCTTGCAGGTTTCATCCTGCATCTGTTTGCAGATACAGGAGATTGTGAGTCCGATCGTTGCAATTTTAGAAACCCCCCCCCCAAAAAAAAGCCTTCCCATTGCTTTATTTTAAACTGGACCCATTCATTTCTGATACCCGCCCCCTCCCCAGCTCACACTGTGCCTTTTTCTCAGGTGCCCGAGGAACGAAGCCTCGCTTCCTCAGTGGGTACAAGCCTTCATCCTCTACTTATTTTGTTTTAGGTTTTAGAAGCCGGCGCTCGGGAGCTCCTTAGATTTGCTGTCAGCTTTGGTTAGAGAGGAGGTTTGATGGCCTCGGTTCCGATTCCTGTTATTTCCGGGCCCGAATCAGTCCACGTTCAGATCAACACTGCAGCCGGGTGGTCACAGGAACTTAATACGCACTAATTGAAATGAGGTGAATGGCGGCATGGCCCTTGGAAATGCAACGGAAGAGGGAGATATCATAATTGGGTGTTTGGGGGCAGGAACAAATAACAAAGTAAAATGGTTTAAAAAAAAAAACCTTTCTATGACTTGCATTCTCTTTTCTTTTCTTTTTTTGGTCAGAAGGCTTATGCAAGAAAGAAAGGGATAAAAAGTTGGGTTAATGTTTGTGCAATAAATTAACCTTGGCAGGTGCTTTACAAAATAATCATAGTTTTGAATTTCAGCAGGAGAGTATCTGTTGACTTCAAACATCAGACGGAAGCCTTTTCTTCCAGGTCAGGATCTTTCTGTCATGTGGTACAGGCAAGGAGTCCAAGTCTATGTGATCGCTTTACTCCCATAAATGCCTTATTTGCAGGTTCTAAGGGGGAATTAGCAATTTGATGCCTTGAGTGAAATTAGTTCCTCAAGTTACAGAATCTTCCTTCTTCTTGAAATAAAACGTACCAGCTCATCCCATTTCGGGGACAGTTGGAGTGATTTGAATATGTATTGTCATTTGACCAAGATTAAAGACTTATTTCTGTGTGTGACACTAATATTTGTTCTGTAGGGTGAAGATAGAAGTGCGTGCTAAGTAACACTGGGATCTCATGATGTCTAGCACTTACTTTGAAACTGAAGCGTTAAAAGGAATTAAATGAAAATATTAATAACAAATTCAATGGGAGAAAGCTGATCCATATTGCCTTTATATACATGCACGGTCTCTTAAACATCAACATAGAAATCCCCCCAGCCCAACACATGCACTGATCTTTCCCTGAAAAACTTCTTTTATGATTTTCCCTGAAAAACTTGTTTTAGGAAACTTTGCCACTTTGCAACCAACATGTGCCCTGGAATGATAACTTGAATCTGGTCAAATTTTTAGTCTCTGGTATTGTCATATGCTATATATAATTTAGACTGATTGTGCCTGATAGGGTAGGGTAGCCCCGCACAAACTCACAGATGAGACATTGTATCATAGGATCAGCAGGAACAATAACCTTTATAACAATGATTTACATAACATAATCCATCCTGCCTTGAAAAATGCTCTCCGGTGGTGCTTCTCACTTATAGGGAGACGAGCAAGGAATGAACAAGGTAGACCAAGAGATACCTTTTCAAGGACCAGCGATGTGCTTTTTTATAGTTGACAACCTCAAATATCCTGTGTTCTCCTGCAGGGTTTTTAAGTACCGGCGACCAGGCGGCCAAAGGCAACTATGGGCTCCTGGATCAGATCCAGGCGCTACGGTGGATTGAGGAGAACGTCGGGGCCTTCGGCGGGGATCCCAAGCGAGTGACCATCTTCGGCTCGGGGGCGGGAGCCTCTTGCGTCAGCCTGTTGACCTTGTCACACTATTCAGAAGGTAAGTAGGGCATCCCCGCGCTGGTGCAGGACCCGCAGGGCTGAGAAATGAACACACACAGAGTGCATATCCCAGGTGCTGGGTGCTGGTGTTGCCCTAAGTCTCTCTTGCAGCCTCCACCAAAAATCCCCAAAAGGACACAAACTCCCTTTCTTCTAATTCCACTTTCTTTCCACGTGAACCGTATTTTGTCATCTCACTTAAATTAACAATTAGGTGCTGGTTGCAACAATTGGGACAAAATGACTTCTTTAGAAAGACCAGCACTGTGCTTCTGCCTTTCCGGCTTTATTCGGTCAATTTAAAATTTTTTCATTTCGGTCAACTTGTCATCTCAACTTGGGAAAGGTAATACAGAAGAGAAACAGTGATGTGGGTAAGCGTTGCAGATTTGTACATTCGGTAAGTGACGTGGCTCATGGCCATGTGATTTTAAAACTCGCTTGTCTGGGGCACCCGGGTGGCTCAGTCCATTAAGAGTCTCAGCTCAGGTCATGATCTCAGGGTCCTGGGATCGAGCCCTGCATCGGGCTCCACACTGGGCATGCAGCCGACTTACGAGTGTCTCCCTCCCTCCCCCTCAGCCTCTCCCCCACCACTGCTAAAAAAAAAAAAAAAAAATTACATTAAATTAAGAAAAAAAAAATGACCCACTCTAACTCAAGGTGGCTCCCTCATGTCCATTGGTGACCTGTAGCACTGAAGGGGACCTTGAAGCTCATCTACTCCAAAACCATCATTTATAGAAAGGAAACAGGCTCAGAGAGGTTGCATAACCCACCTCGGGTCACACAGCAAGAGTCAGAGCCAGAGAAGAAACCAAGCTCCCCAGACCCCGATTCAAACCTATTTCCGTCGTTCCCCTTTAGCTCTGTAACATCGGGGAAGAGTGGATGGTAGTCTTGATCTTCTGGCAGAATAGTCTTGCTTACAGATTCATGAACATCTGTGCCAATTCCCGATGGCGTCTCCTAGTTGCTGTTTTATGTACCAACTGCTTTTCCACTTTGATTTTCCATCGTGAACTTCAGACTTCCTCTGAAGGTATTCGGCAGGACTTAGGAAATAAAAATGTTCGGCTGGAGAAGAAATTTTAGCTGGTCACAGGCACCGAAGTGACAAGAGGGTTTTCAGCGTGATGAGGAGATTCAGAATTCACCGGTCAGTAAGATGCTCCGTGCAAGAACCACAAGCAACCATCAGTCAGATCAAGGCTGATAAGGTTGTAGGTGATTTTGTAACCTTAAGGAGAGCTCGAATTAGGGGCTCACACTTGTATTAACCCTTTGTTTTTACAAAAATGAAATAGTGACTAACGAGAGGGGTCATTGGTAATATCCATTCCTACAGCATTCCAGAAAATATTTAGACTTTCCCATTTGTCAATGGATATAATCCCAGTTCTCGAGTGAGCAAGTAGTCAGGACTGGCTTCCGTAGGAATGAAACACAGTAAACAAAATCTAATTGGAGGAAGAGCATGAATTACTTAAATCGTCAGATCGGAAATGAGCGAGCTCTGTGGCAAGGCTGTGCATGGGTCATGTCTCTGCAAGGCAGCTTTTCGAAACCACCCAGCAATATATAAATACCCAGACCGTCAGCCTTAGAATTGTACTTCTAACCATGTAGACTAAAAACCGATCACCGCGGGGTGCCTGGGTGGCTCAGTCGTTAAGCGTCTGCCTTCGGCTCGGGTCATGATCCCAGGGTCCTGGGATGGAGCCCGCATCGGGCTCCCTGCTCTGCAGGAAGCCTGCTTCTCCCTCTCCCACTCCCCCTGCCTGTGTTCCCTCTCTCGCTGTGTCTCTCTCTGTCAAAAAAAAAAAAAAAAAGATCACCGCATGCATGGAAAATGATGCTTTTGTGAAGATGTTCACCACGATATTATAGCAAAGACTCAAACGAAAAGCTCCAAGATTCAAAAGACGAGAAGTTTATAAGGAACAGGTGCATTTGCTCAAAAGAACAATAATTAGCATCAAAAACAGGTGTCCAAAAGCCTTGGAAACACAATGTCAAAGCTAAACGTATATTGGACTCCACTGTTACAAATGAAACATTGAGAGGGAAACAGCCAAGTGGGCATGACCCCAAAATGCTGATGTAACTTGTATTTTCTGGTATGAATTATGGGTGGCATTTTTCTTGATCCATTTTTTCAAGGTTTATCAGGGATTAGATTCTGTAACAAACAGACACACACACACACACACACACACAGAGCTACATCAGTCATGGCCGATCAGTGTTAGTAGGAAAAAGAAAAATAAAAAAAGAACAAACCAGGTAACTTGTAGCAAAATTCTTCTAATCCTGATTTTTTTTCACTTATGAAAGTCTTCACAGTGGATCAAGCATCAACATCATTTCTTTCCCGGGCTTCCACACATTAATCTTGAGAGCTAAACACACAAGTCTGTAGTTGTGTATCTCCGAGAGTGTTATCAACTGTGGGAAACTGGCCCCCAAATAACTTTGATGTTGAATTGAGCAAAGCCAGATCCATTTAAAAGTCTTCTCTTGGGTGTCATCTTTGGGCAACGCTCCAGTCTTTAGAATCGCATCTTCCTGATTGCGATCATGTTTTCCTCCCTTGATTGCTTGCATGACCTTAAAACTCTACGGGGCACAAACTTCTGCGCTCCCAGCTGAATTATTCTTCCAGCAACTCCCAACCCATCAGAGCTAGATCATGCTGGAATCCAAGAAAATGTCAGGAAGAGATAAGAAACAGAATGCTATCATTTCATACCCCATCATCTCTTGTCCTGTAGTTGTGAAAAATAGAGGGTTTAAAAAAAAAATTTTTTTCTACTTACTGACATTCATATACTAGACTGATCTGATAGGTAATTGTAAGCTACACAGAATTTTACTCATCAAATAGCCCAATTTTTATTTTTTCCACTTCTCACCAAACACACACTTGTAACTTGTAGCAGAATACATGACAGAAAAGTCTGGGCTTTGGATTGATGTGATTTCGAGATCAGCGATTTGTTGAAAACTACATTTTAGTTGGGCAGTCAACTGAGGATTCCTTTAGGAATCGGTAATTTAATTAATATTTTAGTTGTAAAAGTTTCATGCATTTAATATATTGAGGGTGGAAATAGAAATACATGTCTGAGTTTATACTCTAAAATTGATTTCCGTGGAAGTTTTTTTTTTCCCCCATAATGAAGTGGAACCTAGTTTCTGGTTTACCAGTGAGGCAAAACGGTCTTTAACGTCTTCTTGGCACAGAGCATATTTTTAAGGGATGGGAGAGGTGATAACTCTGTGAGGCTTTATTTATAGCATCTGGGGATGGGGATGCCAACACGACGTGAAATTGGGGAAGGGTAAATGGAGTGCACCTTTTTTTTTTTTAACCACTGCAGCTAAATTGTGAATGCAGTTTCATTCTCTGAGACCCTGTGTGTGTGTGTGTGTGTGTGTGTGTGTGTGTGTGTGTGTGTGAAGAACATCCCAGAAAACCAGTGTCCAGCAGGAGGGGGAGGGGGACAGAAAGAGATGGAAATGAGTAAAAAATCCTGAAAGACCTGAATGCCACTGTATCCAGAAATTCACATGCCCGAGAGACAATCAGAGCCTTCTTTGCCCAGTAAAAGCTGCTTTTCTATCTTTCGGGTTTTCATTTGCATGTCTACAACTTTGCACCTGCAGGTCTGTTCCAGAAGGCGATCATCCAGAGCGGGACCGCCCTGTCCAGCTGGGCAGTGAACTACCAGCCTGCCAAGTACACTCGGATATTGGCAGATAAAGTCGGCTGCAACATGCTGGATACCACGGACATGGTCGAATGTCTTCGGAATAAGAACTACAAAGAGCTCATTCAGCAGACCATCACCCCCGCCACGTACCACATTTCCTTTGGCCCCGTCATTGACGGCGATGTCATCCCGGACGACCCTCAGATCCTGATGGAGCAGGGAGAGTTCCTGAATTACGACATCATGCTGGGCGTCAACCAGGGGGAAGGCTTGAAGTTCGTGGATGGTATCGTGGACAGTGAGGACGGTGTGACGCCCAACGACTTTGACTTCTCCGTGTCCAACTTTGTGGACAACCTTTATGGCTACCCAGAGGGCAAAGACACGTTGCGGGAGACCATCAAATTCATGTACACGGACTGGGCCGACAAGGAAAACCCGGAGACGCGAAGGAAGACCCTGGTGGCTCTCTTCACGGACCACCAGTGGGTGGCCCCCGCCGTGGCCACAGCCGACCTCCACGCCCAGTATGGCTCTCCGACCTACTTCTATGCCTTCTATCACCACTGCCAAAGTGAAATGAAACCCAGCTGGGCGGACTCAGCCCATGGCGACGAAGTGCCCTATGTCTTTGGGATCCCCATGATCGGCCCCACGGAACTCTTCAGTTGTAACTTCTCCAAGAACGATGTCATGCTCAGCGCGGTGGTCATGACATACTGGACCAACTTCGCCAAAACCGGGTATGTCCTTCCCACACCGGCTTCTTACTTCTCTTCTGCTCTGTCTGGTTCCTCCGTACAAGTCTTGTTTCCATGACCGAATAGTACATAGGATGCAGACATGCACACGCATGCACACACAGTAACGGAGGGGGGCCTCGTTGTTTGAACACCCCCCAATTGCGTCGTGTCAACCAGAGTTTTACCAGAGTGCAGAGTGCTAATTGCATTACTAAAAAAGTCTGTTTGCCACCTGCCGGTTCAACATACATGGCCATTCTGTGGGATGCTGATCCCAGAATTTCAAGTCTCCTTTGATAAATAATAGGGTTATCAAAACCCATGTGCCACATGGCAAATTATATTTATTCTATAGCCAAGAGAATAAAGTCAATCCCATAACACATCTAGAAAATACTATGTGTATATATACTCTTTATTAACGCACATATATGTATATACATGTATAGTGTTTCTCTACAGTTAGGAGATTTATTTCCTGTAGATACATATATTTACAACATATTTATTCATGTAACTATGTCACACACGTTTATTTCACAAATAAATACACATTTCATATATGCATATATGTGCATATATAGGAAATAAATCTACATAAATATACATAATACACCTCAAAGGGAAGTTCGTTGGCTAAACATAGTGGAAAATATACAAGACCCACACGTATAACAGATGTCGCCAATGTCCTCCTGAGTAGCGACTCTGCAAACAATAAGAGAAAAGACTCCCCAACATTCCAAATAGCTACAAACATCGCAGCATCTTTTCATTTTTCTCTTGCCTCATACCATAGTTGTGGAAATTAATGAGCTATCATTCTGTTCTACCTGCGTCTCTGGTTCTCTCATTAACCTTGAGCCTCATGCACGGAATTAACATCGGAGATGTGCTCCGAAGGTTGGCGAATCTCCCTGTGGCGAGCCGGGTGTCGGAATTGGGCTCCCACCCAGGGGCAGCCCTGCGGTGCCTGAGTCCTACGCACCTCAAGAGAGAGGATGTGGGGACGCCGCAGGTTTGCATGCTTACTTAGGGCTTTAGCGGGTGTCATTCTTTACAATGACCCCAAATATTATTGGGTGGCAAGGGGCTTCAGGATATTTTGTGGTCTCAGCAAAAGTATGGCGTGCTTATAGAGTGGCAAGCTATTGCATGGATACCCACTTTGAACTCAGATTTGACAAGTTTGGTCTAAGAAAGGCTCTCATGGAGGCAGTGGGGGGACAGGAGAACGTACGGATGTTTGGGAGAGGTGCTTGCCTATCACCTGAAGGTTCTTTCTTTGACAAGGAGATGACAGAGGTCAAGTCCACAAGTATTTTAATATAATCCTTGTTTATTATATTATTAGAACATCCTTAGGGGTGCTGTAACTGTGTACCATGAATGGTGTGCATTAAAACCACAAAAACTTATTGTCTCACAGTTTGGATGCTAGAAGTCCAAAATGCAGGCGTTGGTAAGAACCAAGCTCCCTCTAAAACCTGCAAGGGAAGGTTTCATGCTCCTTCCTAGTTCTTGCTGTTTTGCAGGCTGTCTTCCAGGAACATCCCTCGAACTTCTGCATCTGCATCCTGCGGCAGGCTCCCCATGTGTCTCTCTGTCTTTAGATGGCCATTTTCTTATCAAGGCATTGGTCATATTGGCTTTAGTAGTCCAACCAGCTCCATCTTATCTTGACTGATTCCATCTGCAATGACCCTATTTCCAAATAAGGACTGGGGGTTAGCACTTCAGCCTATATTAATTGGAGGGGGGAACACTTCAACCCATCAGCCCTTTTGAAGGCATGACAATGCCCAGTTTTGTCATTGAACTCAGATGTGTGATGCCTCTCCTAGCAAAGTGTCACATTCTTGAAGCAGAAAGACTCACAAGGCCATTTCCCAAATGGCGGCCATGCCCATTCACTAACACCGGCATCCACACATAGCATTCTTCGTGTAATATCTAAACACACCATCGTTGCTTACCTTAGCTAAAACCACATACTTTTTTCCCCTTACAATTTTGGAAATGAGCTTCATATGATTTTCTTAAATGGGAAGCTAGGATCACTCATCACCAGTGTAACTGAACCATTAAAAAAATGGTAAAATCCAAACAAAGCTATTAAATTCTCATTAGCTCCTCTCACCTTGCTAAAGGCTCTGAGGCTGATGCTCTTGTGCTGTTTAAAAAAGAAAGAAAAAAAAGATAAAGGAAATTAATCAATGTCACAAGATGGGAAAGAGCTCCTAGCACCAAATGGACCCTTTCACCAAGACCTATCAAAGACTGAGCCAGGATTAAAAATACCACAACATTCTCTTATTGGGTGCTTTTTCATGCCCACCGTGCCCTAAGATTCTATTGGATGCTAATTCCGGAATTCAAGTCTCCCTGCCTAGCACCTTATTTGGAAATAGGGTCATTGCAGATAGAATCAGTCAAGATAAGATGGAGCAGGTTGGACTTCTAAGCCAGTATGAATGATGCCTTCATAAGAAGATGGCCATCCAAAGACAGAGACCCATAGGGAGGTTGCCATGGGATGCAGATGCAGAAACTGGAGGGGATGTGAATTTCCTCTAATGTGAAATGCAAAGCGCCGTTTTCCAGTGTAAGTAACTAGGGGATAACATTTCCATAGCCACTGGTTTAACAAGAAAACAGGATCGAGGAGATGCGCAGTCTGCTGATTTAGGTACTTGTCAATACGTGGCAAGGTCTTAAGAGGTAGTTGCTGGTTATTTATTTAAATAGGGTGGTGGTACACCAAGGTCTGCAGAGAGGAGTATTTCCTTGTCCCCAGGGGCCTGCTTAAGGGGTACGAAGGAAGATGAGCCAAAATGGTGCCCATAAGGGAACAGCATAGGATAAACCATATCCGATGCCACGGGACTCAGGCCATGACCCACAGACCATGATAGAAGACACAGAGTACCATCAACTGCTCCCTGTAAGCACTGGAGAGACTGGATTATAGGAGTATCTCGCCATCTGTCCATCACAACACATTGCTACGGGGACAGGAATATATGGCGTCAAGACATGCATCCCCATGATCATTTGGTGTTGCTTGCAATCTTCTGCACCTTGCAGACAGCACGCTGGTGTTCCTTATTGCTCATACGTCAGGCAAGGCGAATGTATGCTGGTGCTTCTTCTTGTACAACCCAAAACTCATGGGTGTGACCTTCTGTCTAGGTTTTGATGTCTATATTCCATGGTTTGTTTGTTGTTAAGCATGGGAAAGTAATGTTGGGAATATGCTTGTAGGAGGCAGAGAGGAAGGAGAGAGGAGAGTTTCCTTCTAGCTAGGAGGGTGTTTCCGTGACCCAGGTTAGAAGACACACCCAAAACAGTGCTGGAAAAACAACAACATAGGCCAAAACATATACTAGTCTACAAATAAAGCTGACGTGGAAAGTTTTGATTAAAGAGAAGTAAGTCAAGGAAAAACTAAAATGAATTCCAAGGTTTACAGAGGATGAGGAAGAACTGAAATCTGTGTCATCTAAAATCCCTTTGGGAATACGAGACCCGACTGGCCCATAGAATCCAGGTGCTCATGGACCAAACACCAATTTGGTTTGAGCTCTTTGCAGGAAGAGGTGCCAATAAAGGGAACACCGAGGAAGACTCAATCTCTCTAGAACACGTTGCAACTAATAGCACTTTCCACAAGACCAAATGATGCCTTGCCATCGAAGGGCTTCCTTAAATGGTATCAGAGTTGAGAGAAGGGAAACATAGTTCTGAGACAGCCAAAGCAACCAACACAGATTTCCATTTTTTGATTTGTTCTCAGGACATTGGTGTAGGTCTGCATCAGAGGCCATGACTCTCGATTGTGTTGGTTATGCTGTGTTGAATTTGTATTCAACCTTTGCGAAAAAGTGAGAGGTGCTTAGGATGGATGGCTTAGGGAGAGCTGCGGCCTATGTCTGGTCTTAAAATGACCTTTCCTGCCAAAATGTATTTTAAGCTGAATGAATGAACATCTCTACCTGGTGTGTAGGTGGAGATGTGTCATCGAACTCATTTTCTTGGTGCACAGGGTAGTGTTCTTAGAGGTGTAGTAACAAATAATCAGCTACTACATTATGTTAGGTGTAAGAAGGACCTTATACCATCAAAAAGAGCCTCTCAGAGGGCTTACTGATATTTTTTAAAAAATCATATTACCTATCTCTAGCAAATAAAATGGATCACAAGAGCTTAGAAATGCACTTGACTATTCTCTGCCAAAATGATGTCTCCAATTACAACAGGTGAAAATGTGTGTTTCAGGTGCCAGGAAATGTAGATGCAGATACGCATTGAGGTCTTTACTAGGGAGAGAAGATACATCCGTTTCTTTCTGTCCTTAATCATTATGATCTTTAATTTTACTAATGGAAATTAAAACATGTTGCCTGCGGAAGTCAGGTTTAAAAGAGCAAGACACTGATATCCCACTTAGAGGTCTTGCTGTCTTTGGAGTGTTTGACAAGGAAAATGAGTGAGCTCTGTGAGTTTATCTCGGGTTAAGGCTTCTGACTGTGCCTCTCCAAGAACTTTAATAGATAGATTGTATCAGGCTAAAGCTTACTTATCTGGATTTTCAAAATCCTCTGCTCTATTCTTTGAGAACAAAATAAATGTGTTTCTTTACCTTTCAGATGCACACCGAATTTCATCAAAAATAACCCAACATCCAACATGAACAGAGCACTCTCTTTCCTCGATGCCCTCTGCTTAATAAAAGGTCCACACAGCTAATAGACCCAGTTCAGTGAAATCAGATCAATGGAAAAATAGTAGGAATTCTCACCACCTTTCCTTGCTTTTAGAACAATAAAAATTGATGACAAATGTTCCCATGGCAGATTCCAATTAAATAGGAATTTTTTCAAAAATTTATTCCAGAAGACTCAAATAAAAGAAACATGAGGTGCTACACAGAAGCCAAGATTTTAAAAAGAAGAGATAAAACGTTTATTTTTAAATATACTAATGCTTATAAATGAACACATAAGAAAACTCATGGCATTAGGACCTATAATTTTATGTTTTATTTTCTTAATCCCATTAGTAAAATAAAAGCACTGCAGGGAGTGTGTAGTTAAAAGGTAAAACTTCTTTTTCTTGTATACCACATGCATAATGATATCTATATGTCATATATGTAGATATCTATATAGAGTACACTTTATGCAGCATACAGTATGGTATACAATATACTTTCATACAGTATATACTATACAGTATACTTTTATACAGTATACTTTTATACAGCATATACTATAATATACAGTATACCATATATACTGTGGTATAGAATATATACTATATGTACTATATAGTATACTGTATATACTGTGGTATAGAGTACATACTATATATAGTACATAATATGCTAGGGTATAAGTATAATTTTATACAATGTATACTATACATAGTATATATGCTGTGATATCCAATCAATATACTATACTATATAGTATACCATATATACTATAGTATATGGTATATGCTCTACACAGTATATAACATACTGTAGTATACAGTATACTTTTATACAGTGTATACCATAGACAGTATATAATATACTGCATATGCTATGGTTTATAACATATGCAGTATACAAATATACCATATATACTGAGGTAGAGAATATATATATACACTATATAGTATACTGTATATACTGATACAATGTATACCATAGACAGTATATAATATACTGCATATGCTGTTGTTTATAACATATGCAATATACAAATACAGTAGACCATATATACTGTGGTATACAGTAAATACTATGTACAGTGTATGGTATACCATATATACTGTGGTGTACAGTACACTTGTATACAACATATACTATAGACAGTATAGAATATATTGCATATGCTATGATTTGTAATATATACAATATATAAATACAGTATACCATATATACTGTGGTGTACAGTACACTTGTATACAACATATACTATAGACAGTATAGAATATATTGTATATGCTATGATTTGTAACATATACAATATATAAATACAGTATACCATATATACTGTGGTATATAGTAAATACTATGTACAGTATACAGTGTACCTTATATACTGTGATGTACCGTATACTTTTATACAATGTATACTACAGACAGTATATAATATACTGCATATGCTATGATTTATAATATATGCAATATACAAATATAGTATACCATATATACTGTGGTGTACAGTAAAGACCATGTCCAGTGTATAGTATACCATTTATACTGTGGTATACAGTAAAGACCATGTCCAGTGTATAGTATGCCATATATACTGTGATATACAGTAAAGACCATGTCCAGTGTATAGTATGCCATATATACTGTGATATACAGTAAAGACCATGTCCAGTGTATAGTATACCGTATATACTGTGGTATACAGTACACTTTCATGCAGCATGTACTACATACAGTATATGGTAAACTGTACATGCTGTGGGTATTACCGTATATGACTTTGTAGTCCTCTCTCCCTAAGCAATTTTTGGGTATTCTACTTTGCCTATTGGCAGAAGAGGATAGTATTTATTAATTTGCCCACACTTTGCAGTGGTTATTTAACCTCCATCACTTACTTCCAATAGTCTCACCCGTTCTATAGATGAAGACAGTGAGGACAAGAGAGGCTTAAGAGTTTGCTCAAGACTTCACAGCTGTAAAGAGGGACAGCTGCAGAGCTTAATGCATGGAAATGCTTTTGACAGCCTCACACTGAGGGCAAAAGTCCTTCCCTTAGCAAACGCTGCACCTGTTGGTCACTATGTTGTTTGCATCCTGCACAAAATTCAGGGCCGTGTGTGTGGACTTGGGATCTTCACGGAGGACCTTCTGGTCCCCCAGTCTTCTAGCATGTGAGCTGATAGGCAGTGGCTGGAGGTAGCTTTATAAACGCTGCCCAGAAATTATTGTCTGCAAAGGAGAAGTTTGAGCACACAGGGCAATCGATGTGAGTGTGCAGGTCCCTCCCAGCTTGTTCTGGCCCATACATGATGTCTGAATGCTCAGTGTTGTCTACCAGGTGACATTTTGCAGTGCATAACCTCAACATTTCCAAAACAAATAAACACTAAGGTGAAGTATTAAGATGAAGTATACTTCACTTTACCAACCCTAAAAAAAAAAAAAAAAAAAATGGAAGAAATGAGAATATGATATTTTGGGGAGGTTGGTTGTTATATTAAGAAAGTTGGTGACAAAGACATTTAAAGTACCATGTTTGTGGATTATCCTTTAATTTTGACGATCTTTCTGCCCGCACCCACTTACGTGAATAATAAGACAAATCTCAGGTTCCAAATTGGCCCAACGCACTTAACATCTACAAAACCCCTCACTTTCTGGCACTGGGTGTTACTTCTTCTAAACATGTTAACTTCACCATATCTAAAAGTGTGATCTTATCAAAATTCTTAGAACGAGTGGAATGTTGTTTGATCTTTATGTGGCTCAGTCTTCAAATATACTCAGTATGTAAGTATTCCTTTCAAATAGAAAGCAAACACATGATGCATATTACTGTTTACTCACATTTTGCAATTATAAGGCCTGTTTTTCTTTGAATTTTAACATACATTTTAGTTATTAAACCTGCACTATGTATTCATCCATCCCAGAAGCCACTCTTGAGCAAAGAGAGAATGCCTACTTTTTGAACAGTAGCCTCCAAATCAGGATTTCTCAACCTCAATACTATTGACATTTGTGACAAGAGACTTCCTTGGGTGGGGGGCTCTGTTGTGCACTGAAGAATGTTGAATAGTGCCCCCAAGCCCTCCACCCATTCATGACACTACCCTCCATCCACGACAACCAAAAATGTCTCCAGACATTGCCAAATGTCCCTGTGTGGGCAAAACACCTTTGGTTGAGATTGATGGCTCAAAAGTAGGTAAACATGAAATCCAGAAAAATTTTTTACACCCATCTTTTTTTTTTTTCACTCTTTCCTTGTTGAAGAGTATTTGATGCATTCAAAACATAGTACAAATGTTATGGAAATGCCATAACTCTGCCGTCAGGAATTATTTTTTAAAATAAAGGGAAGAGGGGATGTTAATGAAAACACAAAATGGTAGCCATGCTTGGATGACAGCAGAAGGAGTCTGTTGCTCCTCGGGTACTTGGTGCTCATCAATAAACATGTGTGAGTAACTGGTTGTAATTCCCTGTTGTACTTGACGAAGAGATTTACTTGTCCCATGTCGAAGAATGTGACCTTCTTCCTCTTTTTTTTTTTTTCCTCCCTTCTGTCTCCAGTGACCCTAATCAGCCTGTTCCTCAGGATACCAAGTTCATTCATACAAAACCCAATCGCTTTGAGGAAGTGGCCTGGTCCAAGTATAACCCCAAAGACCAGCTCTACCTGCATATTGGCCTAAAGCCCAGAGTGAGGGATCACTACCGAGCCACCAAGGTGGCTTTCTGGCTGGAACTGGTGCCCCACCTGCACAACCTGAATGAGATCTTCCAGTACGTCTCCACTACCACAAAGGTCCCTCCTCCTGACATGACCTCCTTTCCCTATGGAACCCGGCGGTCTCCCGCCAAGATCTGGCCCACGACCAAACGCCCAGCCATCACTCCTGCTAACAACCCCAAACACTCCAAGGACCCTCACAAGACGGGGCCCGAGGACACAACCGTCCTCATCGAAACCAAACGGGATTACTCCACCGAACTGAGCGTCACCATCGCCGTGGGGGCCTCCCTGCTCTTCCTCAACATTTTGGCCTTTGCGGCTCTGTACTACAAGAAGGACAAGAGACGCCACGAGACGCACAGGCGCCCCAGTCCCCAGAGGAACACGACCAACGACATCGCTCACATCCAGAACGAAGAGATCATGTCGCTGCAGATGAAGCAGCTGGAGCATGACCACGAGTGTGAGTCCCTGCAGGCTCACGACACGCTGAGGCTCACCTGTCCCCCAGACTACACCCTGACGCTGCGCCGCTCTCCTGATGACATCCCACTCATGACACCAAACACCATCACCATGATTCCAAACACACTGACGGGGATTCAGCCTTTGCACACGTTCAACACCTTCAGTGGAGGACAAAACAGTACGAATCTGCCCCACGGACACTCGACCACCAGAGTATAGCTGCCCGGTTCCCTTCCCCTTCCTCGGCTCCTCCCCCACCGGAGAGAGGGAGAAAGAGAGAAGCAGCATCCCCACGTGAGGAATGCCTGTCACCCCACTGACTTAGGACAGAAACAAACAAACAGAAGAAGCGACGGGGCCGCCATTGTGTCCCTGTGGACCCATCCCGTTGGCATTTCCCAGTATTACGAGATCAACTTCTGACCCTATGAAATGTGAAAGCGTATACATCGCCGTTCCAGGACTGCTTTACCATCCCCCATCTCTCCAGCAAACGTTTAGAGGGACTAGGACATTACTGTCTCAAGGACCTGGATGCTTCCGATGCAACAATCGAAGCTGACCCTTGGGGAACTCAGCCAGGGACACTTCAAAAAAAAAAAAAAAAATTTTTTTTTTTTTTTTAATTACACCCGAAAAGCAGAACAAAACAAACAACAAAAAAGAGTTCTTTACCTGCCATACAATGGATGGCTCTACGGAAGGAAAGAAAAAGTCTGTGGGCTTTTACCCAGCATACAGAGCTGTAATCCAGAGAGGAGGAAAAGTAGAATTTTATTATTAAAAGAGCAGACTATGTAGTAACATACCTATAGTTCTGGGCAAAGAGATGTTTTGCCAGCCTGAACTATATTTAAGAAACTTTGTAAGAAACAGAACAAAAAAGTGTATATAGCTGTGAGTTTAAACAAAAACGCACACAGAGAAAAAAAAAAAAGAAAAAACCAACCAACAAAAAAGCTTTTATTGGTGTTTTCAGTTTGAAAGAGCTTTTACCAAGATTGTGCTTTTCATTGTGGTCTGTATGTATATAAATATATATATACATTTAGTCATTCACCTCTGTTTCCTCCCGGACACAGGAGGGTTTTCTTCCTAATTCCTTGTGGTAAGCAAAGACACGGGGCTTTCTAACGCATTTCATTTGTAGGAGGATGTGGTGTGGCACCGTGGACCCAGACTCTCTGTGTGGTGGGGCTCTCCCCCTCTGCGGGTTGCGCAAATGCATGCAACAGCATTCTTAGGAGACCTTGGTTTGAGAAAACTTTTATGTTCGTGTGTTAGCCTTCACGAAGTTGCAACGCCAGGATGGATCCCCAGCGTGCAGTCTCTATTGAAACCTTTGCGGAAAAAATTAGAAACACGCACGCACAGAGCGACGGCAGGAAAAACAAAACACAGATCTCGGTCTGTGGTTGTGGTTCTTTGAATATGTTGAGGGAGACTTGCTTCCCACCCCAGGGTCCTGCCAAAAAAGGAAAGAAAGCTTGCCTTTGGTGGGGCCGTGCCCTGCCGAGTAAATACGGCTCAGTGTTCACCCACAGCTGCAGAAGGCTTATGCTGCTGAACTACCTGCTCAGCTTAGCTAATCAGATTGAAGCGAGGGCATGTGTCTTTCCTTTTTTCTTTTCTTTTTCCTTTTTTTTTGTTTTTTTGTTTGTTTGTTTAAGCAGTAAGTCCCTTATTTATCAGTAAGCAGGATTTTTTTTTTATTCTTTCTATCATTTATCGGATAAAACATATGCTTGTCTAAAAGTCCTGCCTTTCGTGGACTTGTGTATCAGACCCTGATCAATGACTATTGCAGGCACGAAACCAACCCACAGAAAATGACAAAACATTAAAAAGTGCTTTGCATGGGTTTTCCGGGAAGTTAGGGTAGCTTTGACCGTCAAGGTAAGATAATGGAAATTACTCACCCATTTTAAATCGGCTAGCTGGGGACCAGAGACTCACCCTCCGACACCTCCCCATGTTCCTGTCGTCCTTTTCATTCTCCTGAACGAATATTTTTGAGTGTCATAAAGTGGAAGGAAAACATAGCCGGTGGTTACTCTGTATTTTGTCTTTCGAGAATTATTGCAACATCAGGAATTCGCAGCCAAAGATACTTGAAAATACTGTCTCTGGGCTCGACTGGCGTTATTTTGGAAACCCAGGCTTAAAAGTCATTGCTGAGTTGAGGATTCTCCCCAAAAAAGAGTCCAACGGCCTTTTCCCCCGGGGTACTACCTTCACAAACTGACCCCCACCCCCCACGCTAAACCTGCTGTGATCTCCATCGACGTGTTCGAAAACGCCCTCTAGAAAAAGACAGTCCTTAGAAATGCCGAGAGGTCACACAGTCAGTCCTGTCATTTATCTGGGTTTAAATTGGAGAGTGGTTGTCTGTATATACGTATGTGAACTATTTCAATCCCTACTTTGCACATGGTGAAACCACACTCCTTTTCTGCAGCTAGAGGTATCACGGATACGAGTTTTGTCCCCCAATTAATTCGTCACTTTCTAAAGATATCGTCAGGTCCTTTCTGCAAGCTATGTATTCCCCGCTCCCCCCCACACACACCTGGGCTACGGCAAGTAGGCTCTCCATCAATCTACCATGGGAAGTGATGCTCTGCATCAGTGTGGGTCCGGTATGTTTGTAATGTGAATTCCAATATTTGTTTAGTATTTCCAATTGTCTTCTGCTAGCAGTATGCACACAAATGTGTCAGGCTTGTGACATTTGGATAAGGGGAAAAAAAAAGTTCTTGTTAAGTGAATAACTTTAGCTTTTACAGAGGATATGATCAAAAGAAATTTAATACATCTTAAAGGATATCTTATTTCTACATGGAAAGAAGTTATAGAATCTTCATAGAGTTCTATGAGAATAAAATATACTTGCTATCTATAAAAAAAGGGAAAAAGGAGAAAAAAGTGGGAAAAAAATAAGTAAAAACAAAAACAAACAACAAAAAAAAACTTTCCTAGGCTTTTATTCTTGACCTTCACAGGCACGCAGGGTTTAATGGTTTCTTGGGTTATTATTTTGCAGTTTTGTTTTTGATTTTGCCTTAAGTAATGATAGAAGATATATATGGCTGGACACATATGTATAAACTTTTCAGCAGCATTTTTAATAATAAAATATCACAGTATTTTCTAATGCTTTGTGCAAATAATTATGCGTCCGTTCTTTTGTTGTAGGTGGTCTATTTTATTTACTTTTTTCCTTTCCCCCGCTCCGACTGCCTTTTTCGTTTTAAGAGCTCAGTGGTACATCAGACCTAAAGGGACCCACTCAGCTGGTAGTGGATTGATTTCTTACTGTGTCTCCTGGCCCACGATGTTTGTGCCAACACGGGGGACATCCTGCCTGAACGCTGGAGGATCAAGGAAACCCTGGATCAGGATGCTGATGTTTCCTGAACGTTTCTGACTTGCAACACTGGGATCTACGAACTGCCCCTTTGTTCTCATGATGCTGGGTTTGGCATCGTGTGTGACCTAATCATGCCCTGCAGCTTTCAAACAGCCTCCGTTGAGTAAATCTTCAAGAGACAAAAATTCTGAGTAGATCTCAAGAGGCTGAAAATCCCCACCATAGAAGGGGGAGCAAATTTGCCAAGTGCTCACGATGCATCTGGCCATCCCCTCTCCTGTTCACCATTCACGAGAGCCTCCAGGGACGCGCACCTGTGTTACCCCCTTTTTAAAGTGGAGGGGAGGGAGTTGAGAGTCAGAAACGTTTAGCGGCCAGGCAGCAGAACTTAGGTTCAAAGGGTCGTAGCGTGCTTCTAAGCCCAAACCACCATTAAGACAGCAGGAATTTCTACCCCACAGGCATGCATGGCATCACAAATGAGCCAGTTATCACATAAAGAACCCCAGCAAATCCTGTGACTGTTTGCTGCATTTCTGTATTGATTCAGGTCATTTGCTGAGTGTGAGGCAAACAGGATATATAGATTACATGTTACATATATATATATATAAAATATTTTAATAATATATTCCATTATCAATTCAATTGAATTAATAATATATAAATAAGAGTATATAAGTATATTCTGTGTAAAATATGAAAACTGATCATGTATAATTATATAAAGTAAAATATATTAATTTTATTAAATTTAAAGTATATGAAACAAATTTATATATTATATATAAATATATCTAATATATATAATATAAATATATTTAATATGGTATAAAATATAGCATATACCATATATAATCTGTAATGTGTATAGTTTATATATACAATACATATTATAATACGTTATATATATAAATTACATAGTTTTATATATATTAATGTTATGTATATTATACATTATATGTTATATAAATATATATTACATATAAATATGTATGAATTTATATATAAATATATTTATTTTATGTAACTATATAAAATATACATTATTTATATATTTTATTTTATATAAATACATAAACATACCTATTCATTTTTATATATTTACATATTTTACATATTTATATACATATTTTATATATGGCATATATTATATATTGTATTATATACAATATAAATATAAATATTTAATGGAAACACCATTTTCATGAATTCAAAATTGAAAAAATTCAAAAAACAAAGTAAAATTGAATGTTCAGCAAATGTTAGGTAGAGGAAGTCACTGTTTTCTCCATCATTGGATGCATTCTTGACCGTTCTAACTTGGAGAGTGGTAAAAAATGGATGTATTCCTTCATTCAACTGAGTCCCTCACCCATTGATTCACCCAGCAAACCTTTACCCAGCATATCTATCACCCCAGACCATGTGCTGGGGGTCGCATTAGAAATGAAAGGAAACACTCTTTCCATGCTAGAACTGGGCGTGAAAGACGGGGAAGTACGGGGACGGAGTGTAAGTAGGCTTTGAAGATGGTACCCACCATGCCAAGAGGAGTCTACATGCACCCCCCCAACCCCATCTGCCAGGAGTGGCGAGCCTTCTCTAGGAAGCTCCCCCAAACCCCGTGTCTCCAAATACAGGTGGAAGTCCATGTGACTTAACAGTGGTCGTGAGTGCTCAGGGAGGTCAGCGGTACACCTTCCAAACCGAGAAGACGGGACATGTAGAAGACCATATGAAGAAGACCATAGCTTTGTGGTCATAGCTGGAAACTAGAAGGTGTCTCTGGGAAGGGTGTGAGGAACAGCATGGAGCTCATTAAATGCCCCAAATCACAAGACGTGCAGTTTGCACACTGTCCTGAATGCAAGCGGGAGTCAGTGCAAGATCGCACAGAAGGGGTATGAACCTATTGGTCATATTTAAGAGCACTCCCCCCCCCCCACTGCCCTACCAGGGAATGTGCTGGATGTCGGACTAATTCTGGATGTTGGACGATTCTGTTTCAGCAGGGGATGACGTATGGGCTGCAGTCTCCCCATTTCCAACAACCTCTCAAAGTGATGGAAATCTTGCTGCTTCCCAAGGATCCCCCAACTACTTAGAGTGCTCACGCCAGCTGTAACCATCATG